AGGGAGTCCAGGGCTGGGACAGCAGGGGGGTTGTGGGTCAGGACTGAGGGGTGTCATTACCTGGAGCCAGTCTCCACACTCAGCTGTCATGGCCCCATCCTCCCCGATCACAGAGACCAGGGGCAGCCCATGGTGCTTGCCCAGTTCGTAGTCGGCATGGCTGTGCGCCGGCGTCACCTTCACGGCTCCTGCAGGGAGCACGGTGGAGAGGAAAGAACCTCTAAGACCTGGATCCCACTAGTGACACCAATACAGCCACTGTCCAGCCAGTGCCCGACTCAGAGACCTGATAGGGCTGAGGGGCCTGGTGCTTACCTGTGCCCAGGTCTCGCTCCACCAGGGGGTCCGTGATGATGGCCAGGAGGCGCCCAGTGAATGGGTGCTGGAGCCGCTTGCCGTGCAGGTGCTGTCAAAATAAAAAGGGAGAAGCAAAGCCAAGATCCATTATGCCCAGACACTTCCAGTGATCCCCCATTTTAAACTCCATGGATACCCCACCTCCCAACTCCATGGCAATGACCCTCCCTTCTCTTCCAGAGACCCTGCCCCGACCCCAGAGATGACAGTCTCCATGACAATGAACTCCATCTCCATAGTGATGACTCTGCCTTCCTCCCCATGAGACCACACCCCCTTCTCCACAGCCATGAGCCCCCTTCTTCCCACAAAGAGACCCTTCCCTTGTCTCGCAGGAGACACCAGTCTGTCTCCATGGAGATGACTTCACCCTTCTGCCCCATGAGACCCAATCCCTGTCATCATGGAGAGGACGCCGCCTTCCCCCAAAACCCTGCCCCCTTCTCCAAGGAGACAACTTATTCTCCTCTGCCCCAAAGTGGCTCCACCCTGTCTCCATGGAGATGACCTCTCACCTGCGAGACACCCTGCCCCCTTCATCCTAGACACCCCTCCTCTCCGCCCCTTACCGTGAACTGTGGGTCGTCGGGATGGACGGCCACAGCCATGTCCCCCAGCATCGTCTCCGGGCGGGTGGTGGCCACAGGGAGCTCCTCATCTTCCCCCGACACAGAGACAGGGCAAGGGAGAGACAGAAAGAGGGTGACTTTATGGGGCTGGATTATTACCATGAAAAAACAAACAAAAAAAACCAGCCACCTCTGGGGTGGGGTCGCTGGGGAAGAGTCACACAGCAATATAGCATGTGGATTGCTCACCCAGCACTGAGATGCAGCCACCTCTAGGGTGGGGTAGCTGGGGAACACCTGTTGTCCCCACCTGTACAGAGCTTGGGAACTCACCCTCCTGTCCATCCACTTTGTAGGCAAAGGTGAACATCACTCCGAAGGGCACCGGGGCCGGGCAGCCAGGCACAGGGAGCACAGTCCGACCCTGGAGCTGCCGGGTCTCCACCTGCCAGAGAGAGACTGTGTCACGAGACTCAGGGGAAAGCGGGGGGGGGGGGAGAAGAACCACACTGCTTTCCTCCAACTACAGCCCTCCAAGATACAACCCACCCCCAATCCCCAGTGCTGCCCCCCAGACCACACACTCACCTCCACGTCGGAGATGGCGGAGCGCAGGGCGCACGACCAATTCACCAGGCGCCGGTCGCGGTACACCAGCCCGTCCTCGTGCAATCGCATGAACGCCTCTGCCACGGCCGCTGAGAACCCCTGTGTGGGCGAAGGGAATGGCATTCGCATGGGCATATCCCAGGACCAACCAGAGTAACCCCACCCCCCTCCCAGAGCAGGGGAGAGAACCCAGGAGTCCTGGGTCACGAACAGTCACATGTTTGCACGTCAGACACTCACAGCATCCATGGTGAAGCAGAGTCGGTCCCAATCCAGAGATGCCCCCAGAGCCTTGAGCTGTCGGAAAATCTCATCCCCTTTCCTGGGCAGAGAAAGAAACATTGATTTACAGCACTGACTGCCAGGGGACAGTGCCAGCCCGGCTCCCTGCAGCACAGCGCCCCCTAGCGCCAACCAGGGGCACTGGAGCCAGCACTGACTGCTGGGGCCAGCACCCCCCACTGAGCCCCTGCCTCGCTCTCTGTAGCCCAGCGCCCCCTATTGCCCCCACCAAGCCCAGCACTGACTCAGACCGGTGACGCCACAGCCGCACTCACTCCTCTTTCCATTTCCAGACCTCAGCCAGGAATTCCCCTCGCGTGAGGTCCTGCCGCAGGGTGCCCCGCTCCTTCCAGAGCTTGCGCTCCACCACCGCCTGCCGGGGGAGATGGGAGAGTCACCAGAGGGAGGGAGACACACACAGAGCAGGAACACACACATGCAGCACGAGACCCCCAGCTGCCCTACCCCAGAGGTGGCTGCATTTCAGTGCTACAAGAGCCATCCCTGCGCAGCGTTGCTTTTGGCTGTTCCCCCCTGCTGCCTCAGCCCAGAGGCGGCTGCAATTCAGCGCCACGTGCAGCGTTGATTCCCTCCAGCACACACCCACCATAGCCCGACCTACACTTAGAATTTCGGCTGACCTAGCTCCATCACTCAGGGGTGTGAAAATCCCACGCCCCGGAGCGCTGTAGCTCTGCCGATCTGACCCCTCATGCAGACGCAGCCATGCCAGCGGATTAATGCTTCTATCACCCTCTCTGCGGCTGCTCGGGGAGGTGCTGGAGCCCCAGCAGTGTAGATGCGCCCTCTCCCCTCTGGTCTCACCTGAGTGGCGATTCCGGCATGATCCGATCCCGGCACCCACAGCACCTGGAAGCCCTGCATCCTGCACCTGCAACACAAGTCGGAGAGTCACCAGCCAGGCCCTGTGTGCCACAGCCCGCCCCGGGGCCAGAGGGGAAGGCCCCATAGCCCATTCCCCACCCCTCCGAGCCCCTACTCACCATCGCACCAGCGAGTCCTCGATGGCTACCGTGAGGGCATGGCCCAGGTGCAAGGACCCCGTGACATTGGGCGGGGGGATGCAGAGGGAGAAGATTTCTGGTTTCCCATGGGGCTGCCGGCTCTGAGACACAGAGAGGGTGGTTTAACCAGCACAGCGCCCCCTGCTGACCTCCCCGCCCCACTCCCTGCAACACAGCACCCCCAAGTGCAGCTTTGAGCCCTATCACCACCCATGTCAAGGGTAGGACTCTAATTCCATCGGATGTTTTTACCTGATATTCAGGTTTGAAGAATCCTTCCTTCTCCCACCACCCATACCACGCGGCTTCCACATAGCGGGGGCTGTAAGAGGCCGGCAGGGGCACGGAAGTGTCTAGGAAGAGACCCAGCATACGGTTAGCCACGAACAGAGAGGCCCCTAACAAAGTGTCTATAGAGGCGGGGGCAGTGCCTGGCCTAGGGGCTGGAGAGACACAGCGAGGCTTCGGACGGATGGACCCTGCACAGAACACTCTCACGCCAGCTGTGAGGCAGAGGGATCCAGGAGGGGTTACATTTTCCCATCATACCTTTCTTCTGACCGGCGGCCGTTGGGATGTTGTACAGAACCACGTCTTTCGGAGCCCACGCCTTAGCCTGCCCCTGAGGTACCTGGGGAAAAACCAAACACACCCAAGAAGATGCTGGTATGTGAACCAGGCTCCATACTGGGGACAATCACATATTAGACCTGCCATACTACAGAATAATAGATATTTAACCTGTGTCATTTATCACAGAGGAGATTTATAGGGGAGGTCAGTCTGAACTGAAATGCAGCCACCTCTTGGGTGAGGCAGCTGGGTAAAAACCCCCAGCAACACTGCACAGGGATTGATCTTGTAGCACTGAAATGCAGCCGCCTCTGGGGTGGAGCTGCTAGGGGAAAACAGTCCACAGCAACGGTGTACAGGGATTTCTCTCACGGTGCTGAAATGCAGCCACTTCTGGGGTGGGGCAGTTGCATAGATGGCGCACAGCAACTCTGCAAAGCAGGGTCACAGAAAAGGAAAAATAATGTCCTCTCCTGGAGTTAAAAGGGGCTGTTTAGTTTCACTAGAGACAGGGCATTGGGGTCAGCACTGACTGCCAGGGGAGAGCGCCCCTTACCTCCTGCCTCCGGGCCACTCCGGCTTCAATGGACTCCAACCTCTCACGCTGCCTCCTCCGCTTCTCTGCCTTGTTCTTGAGCTGGGTCATTTTCCGCCCCAGCCCCTCAGGGTCGGATTTGCTAGCCTGGGAGGAGGTTCTCCGCCCGCAGGGGACGTGCCGGGGCCCAGCCTGGAGCAGCAGCTGGCGGAGGGAGCTCAGAGTCCGACCGGTGCCGGATCGGATCCAGTTTGGTGCCATGTCCAGGCGTGGGTGGTTCTGATTGCCAGCTGGATGGTGGGGGAGTCCCTGTCTCCTGGCAGCTCACACCCCACACCGGTGCTGGCACGGGGGTGACATGGTGCTGGGGAGGGGACCTGCAGGGCAAAGTTAAGGGGGCAGGACTTGAGACACAGGGACCGGTGCCATCTGCCTCCAGTGGCCTGGATCCCCACTCCCCTTCCCGCGCTGGGGAGAGAACCCAGGAGTCCTGGCTCCCAGCCCCGCCCCCTTCTCCTCCCCGCGCTGGGGAGAACCCAGGAGTCCTGGCTCCCGCTCCCGCCCCTCCCCGCGCTGGGGAGAGAACCCAGGAGTCCTGGCTCCCAGCCCCTCCCCGCTTTGGGGAGAACCCAGGAGTCCTGGCTCCCGCCCCCTGCTCTAACCCACCAGACCGCGGCCCCTCCCGCTCTCACCCCTCGTCCTCACGTTGCAACTTCGAGCCCCGCAACCCTCTACCCGGCAATTGTGACGTCAACTGCACCCGCCAATCAGCGGAGAAAGGCGGGGCCCAGGCGCTTTGCTCATTTCCTCCCCATCGCCACATGATGGGGGGGGGGGTGAGGTGCATGATGGGAAGCTGGAGGGCTGAGCTGATCTGGCCGGGGGTGGGTGGCTGCGCATGGAGCCGCGGGCGGGGGACTGGAGGGAGCCCGCGGCCTTTTATCTCCGGGGCAGCTGCCCAGGCGTGAGAGAAGGTGGGTTCCCCTGGGCTGGGGGGTAGAGAGGGGAACCCCGAGGGGGGGAGTTGGGGGGCAGGGAGTGAGTCCTTGTGGGGAGGGTGGGGGCAAAGAGGGGACCCCTGGGGGGAGGGGGAGGGCAGAGAGGGGAGAGGAGGGCAGACCCTAGGGATATAGATGGGGGCAGAGAGTAGCAGGGTGGGGCAGTGGGGCGATTTCTAGGGAAGTGAGGGGGCAGAATGGGGAACCCCTGAGGTGGATGGGGGCATTGCTAGGTAATGGGGGGATACCTGGGGGGCTGGGGGTGGATCAGCAGCAGCCTCCTTCCCAGCTGTGGTGTTGGGTTGGGGGTTTGGATGGCTTGGAAACTGGGGGGGCAGGGGTGAATTGGGGGGTTGGTAAGATGTTTGTGGGGGGGAAGAGGGGGCACTTTGCTGTAGAAGGAGGGAATTGGGGGGAGGGATCCCTTACGCAGATCTCAAGGCCCTGTACAAAGGAGGTCAGTGTCCTAGGGGGCTAGGCTGGATGACCTCTTGAAGTCCCTTCCGGCCCTAGATTTCTATGACTGTACGACGGGGGTCGGCAACCTATGGCACGCGTGTCGAAGGCGGCACACGAGCTGATTTTCAGTGGCACTCACACTGCCCAGCTCCTGGCCACCAGTCCGGGGGGGCTCTGTATTTTAATTTTTAAATGAAGCTTCTTAAACATTTTAAAAACCTTATTTACATTACATACAACAATAGTTTAGTTCTATATTATAGACTTATAGAAAGAGAGCTTCTAAAAATGTTAAAATGTATTACTGGCACGCGAAACCTTAAATCAGAGTGAATCAATGAAGAATCGGCACACCACTTCTGAAAGGTTGCCGACCCCTGCTCTACGACAATCCCCATTTTTCTGGTTGGGGGAAACTGAGGCACAAAGTGGTGGCCTGCCCAAGGTCCCATGACAGAGCCAGGACTAGAACTTAGTTCTCTGGAGTGTCTGTCCACTAGGCCTCGCTGCCTCACCTCCAATGCCATTCACCGCCTAGCTCCCGTTTCTCAAATGCGGCCCCCCTGGGGCTTTTCATGCGGCCACAGCCTGCTGGGCAGTGACTAGCGGGTGCAAAGTGTTGGGCCTTCCCCCAGGGCCACCAGCAGGGGTTGGGCCCTGCCCCTCTCTGGAGCCACAAACGCCAGGGGAGCCAGCAACTGGTGAGTTCCCCACCTGCCCAGGAGTGGTGAGGCTCAGGCTTCGGGCTCCAGCCCTGAGGTGGCGGGCAGCAGGCTCTGGTCATGGGGCTTCGGGCTCCAGCCCTGGACCCTGGCTGCGGGGCAGCAGGTGCCAACCTTTGGCTCACCCCCCTGCTGCCTTTCCAGCCCCCCATCCATCTCCCCTGGCCCCCGCTGTCTCCCTGCCCACCTCCCCATCCAGGGCTGGGTAAGTCTGCTGCGAGAATTGATATTTGTATGTTTGTTAATAGCGCTTTTCACAGCCTCCAGGCTAGCTAGCAAGTCTGCTGCTATGGAGAGGTATTAACAAACATACGTCGCTTTTCATAGGAACAGACTTACTAGCCAGCAAGTCTTTATTAAAAAAAAAAAAGGCAACCAAAACAAAACAAAACAAAAGAAACAGCACAAAAAGACAAGAATGTGCAAAACACCTTATTCGTGTTTCTGTTCTGTGTAGGTCCAGTAGAGAATAGAGCCAACTGTACGTTATTTTTATTATTGAGTGTGCAAAAAAAATTCCTACATAAATAAATTACTATGATTTGGATGTGTATCTGTGCATATGTATTTCTTTTTCCTAAAGTTATTTAAGTATTTTAGGAAAAATTGTCAGAGTGGCCACCAGCAAGAGTTGATGGCCGCATTCCGAGGCCACCAAAAAATGTGTTGTGAGAACCCCGGCCTAGCCCCACCTAATCTCATTCCCCATGGAGATCTCAGCTCTGGCCTCCGGTCAGCCCTCGATCCAAGCCTCCATTGCTTGGTACGTTTTCGGACCGGCCCCTTTGTGCTTCCTCCCCCACTGCCCCTTGCGCTGGGGAGGAGCGCTCCATCCACGTCCACAGAGCTCCCCTGTCGTCCGCCTTCATAGCCCTTCTTCACGCTCTCCTCGGGCGTGACCCCTGCTGCCGCAGATCCACCGTGTCAGTGCTATGTCCCCAGCTTTTACCCGGGCCCTTGGAGGAAGCCTGTCAGTGGGCCAGACCCCCAAGGGGTCCAACTCTTCCTCCGAGACTGAACCTCCTGCTTCATCCTGTGAGCTCTGCCCAGCTAGACTCCTGGTAGAGACTTGCACCCTCTCTAGGGACCAGTGCACTCCAGCCCGTGTTTGCAGGGACCCGGCAGCCTTTTCGAACTGGAGCAGGGTTTAGTGATTGCACCAGTCCTAACCTAAGGATTTCTAGTCAATGAAGGTTAAGACATAATCCATCTGGCCAGGCTGCTGTGAACTCCAATCCAGTCCTTCTCCCAGTCCCAGGTGAGAGCAGCCCGGCCTCTCCCGAAAGCCGGCTCCTCATCCCCCTCCCTGTTGTGGCTTCCATCATCATCTTGGGTTTTCCACTGATCTGGGTCAGCCTTTAACGACCCCTTCAGTCCGCCCCAGACGACACACGTTCCTTGTGTGTCCTGCTCTGCCCCAAGAGCAGACATAAGCCTTTTGCCCCCATTCAGCAGCAGTGCAAAGTATAGAGGGAAACTGAGGCACAGACATTGACTTAATCAAGACCATGGAATATGCCCACTTTGTCACACCTATAATCATTTGGCTGCTGGTGCGCTACAGCTGCTGAGCAACACTGTCTCATTGTTCCCATGTGCTCCCTGCCTGTCTGTTTCTTCTCTTATGCTTAGATTGTCGGCTCCATGGGGCAGAGACCGTCTTTTTCTTCTATGTTTGTGCAGCGCCTGGCACTGTAGGGTCTGGTTTATGTTTGGGCTCCTAGGTGCTACCGGACTACAGATAATAAATAATAACAAACCAGTGCCCCTAGATTGTCAGCTCTTTGGAGCCGCTTGTGTGTGTGTACAGCACCTAACGCAATTGGGCTCCGCCCGTCTGGCTGCTACCGTAATGCATATAACAACACTCCTTTTAGAAATCAGGCCTAGGAGCTTATCAGCTGAAGCTCCCAACATCAAGTGCCAGTGCTAAATATCCACTCGTGCCTGGTGCTGATTAGCCTATAGTCACAAATAACAAGGGAGTGGAGCCAAGCTAATGTCACACCCCAGCTAGGGGGCAGATCCCAGACCACAGAGGTGCTGGGGGAGTCGGAAAACCTCTCTGAGGTTCTGCCACTAGAGGGAGACGGAGTACACGGCGGGTAAAGGTGGGTTACCTGGCACAGACCCCTTTGTCATGATCAAGGATCCTAGTTTTCTGTAATAAAAACACCAACGTTCTCCGATTTAAAAAACTCCCCTAATAATCGGCGTTTTTCTGTGATTACAATGGAACATTGAACTTTAGTTTCCCGAGCCACAGTATATCTAGGTATGCGTTGAACACCGCGTTTTATTGATATATTTAGTTGTAAAACCCTGGAATGATCCACTCACCGTGCAGTTTCCTTCCTGTTGTCGATGGCCCGGCGGGTTCAGCCTCGTTTTTGTTCCTTTTATGTTCAGCGCTTTCTGTGTGTTCTACAATGGTCTGCCTTCGAACGCCATCTGCAGCCTTGCCATTTCCATCACCGTGAAATTTGTCCTTGCCGAGCTCAGTGGCACGGTCCTTAGGGGGATTTTTAATTTTTCAGCATCTTTTCATAACTTTAATTCCTCATGTCAGGAGGCTGAAGTGACATTTGAGCTTCATTAAAACCTGAACCCCTGTATGCCCTTGGGTAACCTCTCGACGCCGGAAGCAGTTTCTCAGAGTCTGTCCGGTTGTGTTCATTTAAAGCGTATTCAAAAATCAACCAAGGGGGTAGTTGTGCATTTTTCTCTGGTAAATGGGTTTCCGGGATCCCGGCTCATGCCTGATCTGCCTTCCAGGTGATGGACTCCATGATGAAGCTGCAGAGGGTACAGCTGAAATGCAAGAACCTGCACGAATTCCTGCGGGGGCTGAGCCCGGGAATCCTGGATCGGCTCTACAACCACCCCGCCACCTGCCTGGCTGTGTTCCGGTGCGTGGGCTCACACACACCCCCTCCCGGCCCCCCGGCGGGATGGCTGGGTCTGAGGAGGCGAAGGGGCAGACTGGGAGGATTGTTCCAGCACTGTCCACTAGGGGCTGTCTTGGCCCTGAGAGAGGAGTTCGGGCTGGATGGGTTCTGTTCTAGCCTGGGGTTCCCATACAGGGGTGGGGATTGGGGACGTTTCTTAGGTCAGATATCAATAATCGTTGGCTAATTCTGAGAGATGGAGGAATGGTCGGCCTGGATCTAGCCTGGTATCCTGTCACCCTGCACCAAACCTGTGGGCCCATCTAGCCCGGTATCCCGCCGGCTCCCATACCACTCCAGACCAGACCTCTGGGCCCATCTAGCCCGGTATGCTGCCTCCCTGCCATGCCAGATGAGGTCAGACCCGTGGGCGTGTCTAGCCCAGGTGCACCCTAGTCAAGCTGTCCTGTCGAGCGCCCCTGGGGGCCTGTCCTTGTGCTTTGTATTTCGCAGTGAGCTGCCGGGATTGGCCAAGAACTATGTGATGCGGATGCTCTTCCTGGAGCAGCCCCTCCCCCAGGCTGCTGTGGCATTGTGGGTAAAGAAGGAATACGTCAAGTGAGTCCGGGGGCTGGAGGGCCATTGAGGTGGCCTGGGTGGGGTAGATGGAACTTTGAATACTGATCTGGGGTCACCACTCCCCAGTCCCCCAAGCCAGCCAGTCCCCCTGGCCAGGGGCTGGATCAGGGCTGGCGCCACCTAGAGGGGAAAGGCCCATTCCCCACCTCCCTGAGCCAGCCAGTCCCCCTGCCCTGGATTGGAGTCGACACCCCCTAGAGGGGAAAGACCTGTGTCCTATTCCTTGCCCCCCAAGCCAGCCAGTTCCCTGCCCTGGAGCTAGAATGGAGCCAGCGCCCCCTAGAGGGGAAAGGCCCCGTATTCCATTCCCCACCTCCCTGAGCCAGCCAGTCCCCCTGCCCTGGATTGGAGTCAACACCCCCTAAAGGGGAAAGGCCTGTGTCCTATTCCTTGCCCCCCAAGGCCAGCCAGTCCCCTCCCTGGAGCAGGATTGGAGCCGCACCCCCTAAAGGAGAACGGCCCCATATCCCATGGGTCAGCCAGTTCCCCAATCGAGTGACCAGTGCCAGAGGAGGTCATAAACTTCCCATAATGCATCTCACTGTTTGTGGTCACCCCATGCTGCCAGATCCCTTCCTAACCCCCCTGCTGGGGTCCCAGCCCCTGCCCTGCAGCCTGGAGGTGGCTGCAGGCTCTCGGCTCACTCGTGCTTCGGTCTCGCCGCAGGGAGCAGGAGGAGAGCTCCGACGTGCTGCTGGGGCTGCGGCTCTGGCACACCCAGCTGCTGCCGGGGGGTCTGCAGGGGCTGGTCCTGAACCCCATCTTCAAGGAGAACCTGCGCATCGCCTTGCTGGGCGGGTGAGAAGCTGGGGATGGGGGCAGGGCGGAGCAGCCTCATAGATGCCAAGGTGCCCTGCGCAGGGGGGCTGGGAGTTCCTAAGGGAGTTAGGTGCCTGCCTTCTATTGACTGACCCCTTGGACTGCCAGTGCTGGATACCTGATTTCCCCTGGAAACCCCAGCCGTGAGCAGCGCAGCGCCCCCAAAGGGCAGTCACTAGCCTCGCTGTCTGGAGGGGGAAACTGAGGCACAGAGAGGGGACAGGATCCACTCATTACAATACAAATCATTGTCAAGACTGGGAATAGAACCCAGGAGTCCTGATTCCCAGCCCCCTTGCTCTAACCCACTGGACCCCACTGCCCTCCCAGATCTGAGACAGAACCCAGGAGTCCTGATGGATCACTGAGATCAGAATAGTTACTTAATTAGATCTGGTATCTATGCCAATTAGAGTCATTTAGTGGAGTCCAGTAGGTAGAGTTGAGGGGAAGGGTTGGGGAACCAGGACTCCTGGGCTCTATGCATACCTCAGGTTGGGAGTAGTGGGGTCTAGTGGGTTAGAGCAGGCGGGGCTGGGAGTCAGGACTCCTGGGTTCTATCCTCAGTTGTACCACTGCCTTGCTGTGTAACCTGGGGCGAGTTGCCATAGAAAAGTCACCTGCAGTTCACACCTGTGTCTGCTGAGTGGCGCTGCTGCTGAGTGAAGTCAGCAGAAGGCTTGTGTTCATGCCAGGCTGGGTAACTCCAACGGCGCGGGTCTAAAGAGCCGGTGCCTATTTGATCACAGCTCCATCAGGTGGCCTGTTCTGACCCTGGCGAATCCATTTTGTGTCTCGCCCCCGGTTCTAGGGGCAAGGCCTGGTCCGATGACACCAGCCAGCTGGGGCCAGACAAGCACGCGCGGGACGTCCCGTCGCTGGATAAATATGCCGAGGAGAGATGGGAGGTGAGTGCTGGTAGACCCCCTGTGCTGACCCCAAGAGAACCCAGGAGTCCAGGCTCCCAGCCACTACCCTGTTCCAACCAATAAACTCCACCCCCTTCCGAGAGCTGGAGATAGAACCCAGGAGTCCTGGCTTCCAGCCCCCCCGTACTAACCACTAGACCCCAATTGACTCAAGTGGGTGGGCACTTCTGTACTAAGATAATGCCGTAAACATTTCCCTAACACCGCCAGTACAAAGTATCCCAAAGCACTTTGCGTACTTCACATCCTTTCACCCACACACTGAAATGCAGCCACCTCTGGGGTGGGGCCGCTGGAGAACAGCCGCATGGCGACGTGGCAATGGGTTCAGGAGAGATTTTTGTCATTGACTAGTCCGGGGTGGGCAAACGTTTTGGCCCGAGGGCCACATCTGGGTGGGGAAATTGTATGCAGGGCAGGGGGTTGGGGTTGGGGTGCGGGAGGGAGTGTGGGGTGAGTACGGTGTGCAGGAAGGGGCTCAGGGCAAGGGGTTGGGGCAGAGGAGGGTGCGGGGTATATGAGGGCGTTCAGAGCAGGGGGTTGGGGGTGCAGGAGGGGTACGAGGTGTGGCAGGGGACTTAGGGCAGGGGGTTGGGGTGCAGGAGGGGTTCGGGCTCTGGCCTGGCGCAGCAGCGGCGTGCACCAGGGCCAGGGCAGGCTCCCTAGTGCCACTCTGGGAAGCGGCCGGCACCATGTCCCTACGGCCCCTGGGGGGAAAGGGGGGGCAGAGAGCTCCGTGCGCTGCTCTTAACTGTGGGTACCTCCCCTGAAGTTCCCATTGGCCGCAGTTCCCCATTCCCGGCCAATGGGAGCTTCAGGGGAGGGAGGTGGTGCGGCCGCTTCTGGGAGCAGCGTGAGGCCGGCAGTGCCACGGGGGGGCAATCCCGCAGGCCGGATCCAAAGCCCTGAGGGGCCGGATCCAGCCCGCGGGCTGTAGTTTGCCCACCCCTGGCCTAGTGGAACAGGGTTGAGAGGCCCTCTGGTGGCAGAAAAGGGCAGCACCTGCAAATGGGGTGCGTGTCTGGAGCGTTCCTGGTTGCTGATCCGTCCATGTGTCCATCTCCTGCTGGCCCAGGTGATCCTGCATTTCATGGTGGGCTCCCCCAGCGCCGCGGTCAGCCAGGATCTCGCCCAGCTCCTCAGCCAAGCCGGGCTGATGAAGAGGTGAGTGGGGACATGGGGTCTTTCCCCTCTCGGGGGTGCCGGCTCTGATCCAGCCCCAGGGCCAGGCACTGGCTGGCTTGGCGGGGAGAATGGGACGCGGGGCCTTTCCCCTGCAACCAGCCCCCTTCTCCGGCCACTTAAGGAAGGAGGCCGAGAGCTGGACAGGCCAGGGACCCCCAGCTCCCCTCTGCCCCCTAGTGGCTGCTGTAGTGACCCAGCCTGCAGTTGCGGGGGGTACTGAATCCTGATCCCTGTCTCCCCCGCCCCCCTTCAGCAGCGAACCCGGAGAGCCCCCCTGCATCACCTCCGCCGGCTTCCAGTTCCTGCTGCTGGACACGTCCTCCCAGCTCTGGTACTTCATGCTGCAGTACCTGCAGTCCGCTGAGGTGAGATCTCCCGCCTGCCCCAGTGCCTGCCCCCTTTGTGTCTCCCCCCAGGCCCTAGAGCCCCCCACTGACTCCCCCTGGAGTAATCCCCTTCTCCCCCCACTATCCCCCTCCCCCCCAAACTACCTCCCCACTTCCCAGCAGCTCTGCCTCTTGCATCCGTGCCCCCCCCCCCCCAGGCTGTTTTAACCCCTCGTTGTCTCCCCTGCAGACCCGGGGCATGGACCTAGTGGAGATCCTGTCCTTCCTCTTCCAGCTCAGCTTCTCCACCCTTGGCAAGGTAGGAGGGGAACCTCCTGCTCTAACCACTACACCCCACTCCCCTCCCAGAGCTGGGGATAGAACCCAGGCCCCTGCTCTTGAGCAAATTGATTTAACTGGGGTTTGGATCAGCTGAACAAAGCAGAAGGAAAACACAGTAGGTTCTATCATGAACCTCTCCATGGGAGACCCTGCTGGCCCTTTTACAATCATAGCATCGGAGAGCCTCACAGGGAAAGGGTATTGCGCCCATTGCACAGCTGGGGAAACTGAGGCATGGAGCAATGAAGCAGCTTGCTCCAGGTCACGCAGGGAGTCAGGGAATTGAGACCAGATCTCCTGAGCTCCAGCGCAGTGCCCGAACCACTAGACCCTCCTTCCTTTTGCTCCTGCAACACATGGTAGAAAACATCTACAGGGACATTGCTGCTGCTGAGAGGAGAGGAAGGGAGTTAAGGGGCACTGCGTGAAAGTGACCCTACTGGTCAATGTCAGGCTGTGGGGGGAGAATCCGGATGGGTGTTGGGCTGTGAAATTGTCCCCCCAAGGGGGCAGGGCTGGGAGCCCCCTGGCTGGGAACATGTAGGATCAGACAGGGTAGAGCTGTGGGGAGCGATTCTCAGGGGATTGATAATATGGGAGCCTCACTGGGGCTTCCTTATGTCTGGAAACAAAGCGTCTTTGCTTTTGCCCCCTCCCAGGATTACTCGGTGGAGGGAATGAGCGACTCGCTGCTCAATTTTCTTCAACACCTTCGGGAATTTGGTCTGGTCTTCCAGAGGAAGGTATGTGGAGAAGGACTGAGGGGCACCAGCAGAGCTGGGTTGGGGGGACCCCAGGGCTGGGCTAGCAGGGGGCTGTAGGTTGGAATTGGGGGGCACTGGCAGATGTAGGGTTGGGGGAGGTGGGGGCTGGGCTAGTGCGGGCTCCGGGTCAGGGTTCAGGAGCACCAGCAGAGCTGTGGGGAGTTGGGGGAAATCTGGAGGCTGTGGGTCGGGGTTGAGGGGCATTAGGGGAAGCTGGGGGTTAGGCTAGCAGGGGCTGTGGGTCAGGGTTGAGGGGCACCAGCAGAGCTGTGGGGAGTTGCGGGGGGGGAGATCTGGGGACTGTGGGTCGGTGTTGAGGGGCACTGGGGGGAGCTGGGGGCTGCGAGCTGCGGGTCAGAGTAGAGGGGCACCAGCAGAGCTGTGGGGAGTTGCGGGGGGGGAGATCTGGGGGCTGTGGGTCAGTGTTAAGGGGCACTGGGGGGAGCTGGGGGCTGCGAGCTGCGGGTCAGAGTAGAGGAGCACCAGCAGAGCTGTGGGGAGGTGGGGGGAGGTTGGGGCTGGGATAGCAGGGGGCTGCGGGTCGGGGTTGAGTGGCACCAGCAGAGCTGTGAGGAATTGGGAGGGATCTGGGGGCTGTGGGTCGGGGTTGAGGGGCACTGGGGGGAGCTGTGGGTCAGGGTTGAGGTTCTCTGCAGACACCCTGCATTCCCCCCCTTGTAGAGGAAGTCGCGGCGCTATTACCCCACCCGCCTGGCCATTAACTTGTCCTCAGGAATTTCCGGCACCACCACGGACACCCACAACCAGGGCTTCGTCGTCGTAGAGACCAATTACAGGGTCTATGCGTACACAGGTCAGAGGTCAAGGGCCGGGGGTCACCCACCTGGATAGTCTCCGACCCCCTATCCCCTCCTCACTGCAGCTTCCTTCGGAGCCCATGGCCAGGACATGGGGAGTGTGGGAGTAAATGATTCACAGGCCAGAATCATGGGGGGAGGGGGGACAGTCAGGACTCCTGGGTTCTATCCCCAGTTCTGGGAGGGGAGTGGGGTCTAATGAGTCAGAGCAGAAAGGGGCTGGGAGTTAGGACTCCTGCGTTCCGTTCCCAGATCTCTGTGACCTTGAGGGGCACATGCCCTTTCCCGTGCCTCAGTTCCCCCCCCAACACAGGGTCAGTGATGCTGACCCAGTGTGTAAATGCAGGGAGATCTATGGGTGGGATCCCCCATATGCTGCAAAGGGTGATGACTCCCTGGGGAGCACTGATTCCATGGGATGGTGCTGGCCACGCCTCCAAGGGGCGGGGCTTCCCTAGATAAGGCCACAACCTGACTGATTGTCTCCTATCCGCTGCCACTCCCCTCCCCGTCCCGCCCCAGACTCGGAGCTGCAGATCGCGCTCATCGCACTGTTCTCCGAGATGCAGTATCGCTTCCCCAACCTGGTGGTGGCCCATGTGACCCGCGAGAGCGTCCAGCAGGCCATCGCCAATGGCATCACGGCCGAGCAGGTGAGAGCCAGGGGCAGGGGCCATGGGATCACAGAGACCCGGTGAGGGCTCCCACCTGGGACGGGATTGCCCCGAACCCAAGCAACGGGGCTCCCAGCTTGCCCCTTGGGGGGAGAAACGGATCAAACATTTCCTGCTTTGGATAGCCCAGCCCCTTTCTCTGCACCCCTACTGGGAGGCAGGACTCCTGGGTTCTATTCCCAGCTCTGGGAGGGGAGTGGGGTCTAGTGGGTTAGAGCAGGGGGCGCTGGGAGCCAGGACTCCTGGGTTTTGTCCCCAGCTCTGGAAAGGGAGTGGTGTCTAGTGGTTAGAGAAGGGTGAGGGGTGTCTCTGAGGCATCATATGGACCCGCGCTCACCCCTCCGACGAGACAGTCTGGTTACGGGGAAGGATCATCCAAGGCGGGGTTGTACCCCAGCCCTGGGGGGAGGGACAGGCTGTGGGTGGCTGCTAGGGGGTGCCAGCCGGTTACAATGTCCCCTCTGCCTGCAGATCATCCACTTCCTACGGACCAGGGCACACCCTGTGATGCTGAGACAGGTGAGGAGCTGGGGGGCTGGGAGTCAGAATTCCTGGGTTCTCTCCCCAGCTCGGGGAACGGAGTGGGGTCTAGTGGGTTAGAGCGGGGTGGGGGTGGGAGTCAGGACTCCTGGGTTCTATCCGCAGCTCGGGGAACGGAGTGGAGTCTAGTGGGTTAGAGCAGGGTGAGGGTGGGAGGTGGGAGCCAGGACTCCTGGGTCCCCACTGGTGACAATATTTCCCTAACTCCTAGAGGCTGGAGTGAACTAGTCAGGGCAGAGATGAAAGGGGCTGAGCTAGAAGACAGAGCTCATTGACGGAGCAGGGCAGGTGAAGGACGGGGGTTAGAGACAGGGGAGGGTCCAGAGACCCAGTGGGCAGAGGGGAGGGGGCAGATACCATAGAGATCAGGGCCCTGTGGGTGCCTAGATGGTCTCTATCCTTGGGAGCTGGGGGTTGGTCGTGGGGCCAGTAGCTGCTGAGTGACTCCTCGCCTGCTCCCCCTGCAGACCCCAGTGCTGCCTCCGACCATCACGGATCAGATCCGGCTCTGGGAGCTGGAGCGCGACCGGCTGCGCTTCTCCGAGGGTGAGTGTCGTGGGGGAAGGGCTGGACACTGGGGGGGCCAGCAGCAGGGGAAGGGATGGTGCCCTGATGGAGTCTGATGGGTTTTTTCCTCCCTCTCTGCCCCATTCCACTTACCCATCTGTCCTCTATACAATTCTCTGCCCCATTCCCCCTTTCATCTCCCTCCTCCATCCCACTTATCCATCATTCATCTTCCCCGCCTCATTCTCCCTCCATCCTTCCCTCCCTCCTTTTTCCCCTCCTACTTATACATCTGTCTGTCCTCATCCTCTTCTCGGCCTCCTCTTCCTCCTCCATTCATCTCTCCTCCTCTCCATCCTCATCTCCCACTCCACCCCTTTCCCCCCTTTATCCATCCATCATTCCTCTTTTCTGCCCTATTCCCTCTCTCGTCTCCCCCTCTTCTTCCATGTCTCCCCCTATTCCTTCCTTCCATCATCCCTTCCCCCTTGGCCCCATTCCCTCTCCTTCCATCTCTCCATGTCTCCCACCTTTCCTTCCATCCATCCATCCTGCCTCCTCCACCCTGTTCCCTCTCCTTCCATCTCTCCATGTCTCCCACTTTTCCTTCCATCCCTTCCTCTTTTTTCCCCCCGTACAGGCGTGCTGTACAACCAGTTCCTGTCCCAGGTGGACTTTGAGCTGCTGCGGAACCATGCCCGGGACCTGGGCGTGCTGGTCTTCGAGAACCCGGCCAAGCGCCTCATGGTGGTGACGCCCGCCGGCCATTCCGACGTCAAGCGCTTCTGGAAGAGGCAAAAGCAGAGCTCCTGAGGGGACCCCGCACCCGGCCCCGAGGACTGGGCTGCCGCTCCCCGACATCTGGTGCAGGGGGGGATCCTGCTGCACTGAGTGTCCAGTGGTTACCTCAGGAAGCTCAGTGCATCTCCAGCAGGGAAGGGGTTAAATTGCAGCGCCTCCCCCTCACCCCTGCACGCCCTTTCCCCCAAACAGGATCTCTCCTTTGGCAGATCTCTTTCCAGCAGCGAAGGGGTTCAGTGATGACATGCCCCCCTTCCCCCCTGTGGGGGCTAACTGGTCCCATCCCTCTGCATCAGTTTTTGAGGGGCTACTTTGCTGATCACCCCAGAACCCCTGGCTGGGGATGGAGTTGGATGCACCTTCCAAGATGTGTGGGTCTTCTGTACCTTGATGTCTGTGGGGGGATCCAGGGCTGGGTTATGCTCCTCATGCCCCCCCACCCCCTCACCCCTTGATGCTTTCCAGCAGCCAGAGGAGATTCCTCTGGGGCCTTTCTCCCCTAGGGGGCGCCAGCTCCTATCCTGCCCTAGGCCAGGGGACAGAGACAAAGCGACTGACCCTGCTTTTGCCGATGGGTGTAAATGAATAACCTCACTGGAATTAGTGAGGCTGATTCCCCTCTCAGCTGGTGTAAATCTGAAGTAACTAAATTGAAGTCACACCTGATTTGCTCCAGTGGCAACTCTATGCACGGAACTGGAGTGACCCGATTCACACTGGCCGACCGGATCAGAATCCAGCCCTGACTCTACTGCCATCGATGGGCTGCCCTGGATTGACACCGCGCTCAGCATCCAGCCGTGGCTCCAGAGGGTCTCTGGATTTACACGAGGGGAACAGGAGAATCCAGCCCAACACCTGTAAATAGTTTTTTGTAACTGTTGAGAGGGAACTGAATAAAGCTCCCATTTGAAAGTTTTGTATTTGCTGGCTGGCGGGGCGTCGTCATTCCTGGCTGACACAGGGTGCCCCCTACAGGCAGGTGTGGTGTAGCAGGGGAGCCCTGACTTGAATTTCCCTGCACCCAGGGGGATATCAACAAGTCCAGGCTGTTAGACGCTGAAGGGCACCCCCTGGTGGAGGGGCTCGGGCCACAGAAAAGCCAACGCAGAATCTAAAACTCTCACCCCAACAAACATCTCGGCTTCGGGAGCCTGTTCTTAGCGCCTCTGTCCCCCCACTGGAGGCCAGCGCTTGCCTCGACTCAGCTCTAAGGAGGGACTTTTGTGGCCGGGGAAAAGGGAGAAAGTTTGGTGAGGGGATGGGAATGCTGACAAGGCCACTGTCTGCCCCCCTTAGCAGGGAAGGGAGGTTTGGGGTGAAGACACAGGACTCCAGCGTTCTAGTCCCTCCTCAGCCACAGATCCGTACTGTCCCTTTACCTCTCTGTACCTCTGTTTAGCCAGTTAACCAGCAATATCATTGATCGCAAGGGTGGAGGAGCGAAATTCCTTTCTACTTGTGAGGTGCTCCGCTGAAGGCTGTAGAAATGTCTAGGACTAACTACTATGTGAAAAACTAGAGGGACTGGAGGTTCAGGAAACCAGCAGATGCGGCTAAGAGCCCATCAGGGCCCCTTCTTTGTAAAATAGGTAACAACTTGTTTTTGGGGCTCCTGTTGATGTCGGGATGGTGTGCTAAAGATGTCTAGAAATGGAAGGTGTGCCAACAATGGAACCCACCAACCGAGGGAGTCTACTGCAGGAGACGCTAATTGTGTAAAGTCTACGGCCAGTTCCCGTGAAATGTTAGGACGTCCTTATTTCCTTGACCCATCACGCTGACCGAGACAGCTGTACGTAGAGGCCTTGGTTGAACTTGTTTTTGGAAAGCAGGCCTTCGATTGATGGGTACTTGGACTAGTTACATACATATTGTGCCTGGACTGCACAAAACTTTTTCAGACAAGTCAAGGCCCTGGTGATTGGGGGGACTTCCAGGCACGGACTCCTGGAATCCTGCCATCAGTTGTTAGGGCAAGGATGGCAAAACATGGATGAAGGAAAGGTTACACCCACTAAAGGGATGCAAGGGAGCGATCATTTTCTATTAATCCATGTCTGTCGCTTACCTTTTGCTTTTCTTACGGTCTAACTTGTGGGCCTAACAGTGTCAATGGGGACTGGTGAGAAACTTTCACCCTAACATTTTTTTGGTTGGAAAATTAGGTTGTCAGTGAAATGAATTTTATCTTCAGCCATTTACTTTGTGAAAAATTTTGATTTGGTCAAAAAACCCAGATGCCCGAAAAACAAAGTATTGCAGTTTTAAAGCTTATGTGAATTCTTTAAGCTTAATATGCTTGAGTTTTTGGCAGCATCCCCACAAAAGCCACACAGGCCTGGTGTAGCTTAGAAAGATTTGCCAGTTTATACTGGTGCAGACACCGTTCTACCCATTGAAAAGTGCCTGTGCTGGTGTGTCTGTTCTTCACACTGGAAGGGAAACAAGTTTTACTGGTGTGAGGCACCTTTATCCTGGTACAGCTTCATCCAGATTGGGGCTGTGATGTATAACTATATTGGTGGGGGGAAATCACACCCCTAACCACCATAGCTAGAGCAGTGTAACTAGTGTAGATCAGACCCCAACTGGGGTCTGTAGACATTCGTATGCAAATATCTCTAATGGCGAAAGGAGCCTTGGTAGCCACACAGAGTAGCAGTGTCACGGTTAATCTCTTAAAAATAATTGTGCTTTAGCATCCGAGTCAGAGCTTCAGGCTGCAAGAGTCGGGCTGTCGGTATAATCTGGTTGCTTTGTGCTGATTTCAATCAAACTCAGGGACTGAAAATGCAACTGACACTGAAGTACAGGCACTCATGAATATTAGCAACTGAGGATGTCTATAGCCTGTGGTCCATATTGTAGAAGTGTGATACTGTGACCAGAATTGATCTGGATTGGAATTATGTGCCCCCCCCCCTTTTTTTTTTACTGTGGTAGAGGAATAGGATTTGCTTTGACACCAAGGCAAACGAGTAACTTTATTGTTAAAAATAAAAAAATCTTTATTAGCTTTGTTAGAGAAAAGGACACTTATGAGAATGAAGGACGCCCTTTATAAATATGTCTGAACAAAAATACTTTAGCACAGAGAAAATGTTAGGAAAATAATGTATCCAATTAGAAATAAACATTGCAGTAGAAAAATAATGTACGTAAGGAAGTAACTAAGCTGTATGGGGCAGAGCTCTCTTTTTGGTCTGTGTTTGCACAGTGGCCATGACTTGGGGCTCTTGGGTACTAATATAATACACACAATTAAGAAAAAGAATTGAAGAGATACGTCCAGATCTCCCCCCAGACTCACTGTGTGACATAAGCCCCCTGAGGAACTGACTTAGGCCAACTGTTTCCAAAAGCGAAAGTAACTGCAGTTTGAAATGGGAGGGAAAAGGAGTCTCAAAATTATGGAGCTTTTGTAATAAATATTCAGTAGATAGAAGAGGGACCAATATAAGGGGATTTTATATCAACATTATAGAATCAGAGGGGGAAAGAGCAAAATCTCAGAAAATTTGACATCAATATTTCAATAAAGAGAAAACGGGCCAAATTTGATGGGATATTATATCAATATTTGAGAATTGAGGGGGGAAAGGGACAAAGTCTGAAGCAATTTTACATCAATATTCAATGAAGCAAAAGAAAAGGTCACCTGGTGGAACTCATTGCCAGGGGATGCCAGAAAGGCCAAAAGTATAAAAGGGTGCAAAATCGAAGTAGATATGTTCACGGAGGATAGGTTCATCCATGGCTATTAGCCAAGACTGTCAGTGATGCAAGCCCGTGAAGCTGGGGGTTGGCCGACAGGGGATGGATCACTTGATAATTGCCCTGCTCTATTCATTCCCTGTGAAGTATCTGGACTGGCCTCTGTCGGAAGACAGGATACTGGGTTAGATGGACCATTGGTCTGACCCAGTATGGCCGTTCTTATGCTCTTAAAATGTGAAGGAGTTTGCAACCCGTATTTGAAAATCAGAGGGAAAAGAGGCCAAATATGAATGGATATTTTATCAATAATTGACCATTGGAGAGAAAAGGCATTTAATCTGAAGTGACAGTTATTCATAGGGGGTTTAACCCCCACCACATCGTCTGTCCATGATGTGGGGCAATAGTTCAGGCCAACTGTTTTCCTCCAAAACCAGAAGTGCCTGCAGTTTAATATGGGGGGAGACGTGTCAACATCTGAGGAGCTTTTTGACGGAATCCGAGAGATTTCAGGTCAATATCTGAACAGGGCCGGCTTTAGGAAGTGCGGGGCCCGATTCGAACAGTTTCGACGGGGCCCCGACAGGGATGAAACTAAAAAAAAAAACCATGTTAAAAAAAACACGTGGGGCTTGTACTCACCGGCCCGCGCTCCTAGTCTTTGGCGGCAGGTCCTTCACTCGCTCCGGGTCTTTGGCGGCACTGAAGGACCTGCCGCCAAAGTGCCGCCAAAGACCTGGAGCGAGTGAAGGACCCGCTGCCAAAGACCTGGAGCGCCGCCGGGTGAGTAAAAATTAAAAAGGTACCTCTAGCCAGGGAAGGGATTCTCTGCCACTTGCCCCCCACTCTGGGCGACCCTGCCAATGGGCGCGGGGTCCTCTTAAGCACGGGGCCCGATTCGAGGGAATTGGTGGAATTGGCCTAAAGCCGGCCCTGTATCTGAACATACGACAGAAGTGTCAGCAGCGGAGGGGATTTTGGAGCAATGGTTGATCACTGGAGAGCACAGCTGACTCGCAGGGATTTTAGATCCATAGTCAATAACTTGGGGGAAGGGGTTACAGCTGAGAGCACTTTCCACCCATAACCGATCATTAGAAGGTAAAGAGACCAGCATGGGGGGCGGGGGGGGCGGTTGATAATATTATGTCCCTGGGACAGACGCCGCTCGCCAGCCCGGCTCCAGGCACCATCGAAGGGGGCCAAGGGAAAGGGGCGGCTCGTCCCTCAGTCCCTCGAGCGAAGGACCCGCCGCCGACCTGCGGCAAAACAGTTGCAAAAGGGGAGGGTTGCGTTTTGTGCCGATACCCCTGCCCTGCCCCTCAGCAAAACCACACCCTGTGACTGGTTCCGCGGTAAGTCTTGTAACAGAAAAGTGTAATTTCCAGCGAGGCGGCTCCAGCTAAACGTGGGTTTCAGTTTGTACATTTACCACCAACAAACCTCCACTTCTGAGTCATTCAGAACTGAGCGGAAACCGCTGACGTAAAACCTGTAGCTGCAGCTGCCCCATCCCCAATAGTTGGCCTGAACTATTGCCCCACATCATGGATAGACGATGTGGTGGGGCTTAAACCCCCTATGAATAACTGTCACTTCAGATTAAATGCCTTTTCTCTCCAGTGGTCAATTATTGATAAAATATCCATTCAGATTTTGTCTCTTTTCCCTCTGATTTTCAAATACGGGTTGCAAACTCCTTCACATTTTAAGAGCATAAGAACGGCCATACTGGGTCAGACCAATGGTCCATCTAACCCAGTATCCTGTCTTCTGACAGAGGCCAGTCCAGATACTTCAGAGGGAATGAACAGAGCAGGGCAATTATCAAGTGATCCATCCCCTGTCGGCCAACCCCCAGCTTCATGGGGTTGCATCACTGACCATCTTGGCTAATAGCCATGGATGAACCTGTCCTCCATGAACATATCTAGTTCGTTTTTGAACCCGGTTATATTTTTGGCCTTCACAGCATCCCCTGGCAATGAGTTCCACCAGGTGACCTTTTCTTTTGCTTCATTGAATATTGATGTAAAATTGCTTAGAACTTTGTCCCTTTCCCCCTTCAATTCTCAAATATTGATATAAAATCCCATCAAATTTGGCCCATTTTCTCTCTAATTATTGAAATATTGATGTCAAATTTTCTGAGATTTTGCTCTTTCCCACTCTGATTCTATAATGTTGATATAGAATCCCCTTA